TAATAATAATAATAATAATAATAATAATAATAATAATAATAATAATAATAATAATAATAATAATAATAATAATAATAATAATAATAATAATAATAATAATAATAATAATAATAATAATAATAATAATAATAATAATAATAATAATAATAATAATAATAATAATAATAGTAATAATAATAATAATAATAATAATAATAATAATAATAATTATAATAATAATAATAATAATTCTCTTTCTCAATTCATGTATATCACTGTTTCTTCCTCAAATATCATTGTCATTTTGTCATTTCAAAATGGCTTAGTGTATTTATTTTCCCACTAATATAATGTCTTCCTTGACTTACCCTTGTTTACTTTTCATTCAACAAGCTCGTTCAACAACTTTGGAAAAACTGTTAGGTTCTCTGCTTGAACTTGACCAAATCTGTCAAAAAGAGAAGCCTTCATTTCCCCACTGTCTTTTAGAATTTGGGTCTGAATTCCCACCATTATCTTAAGAAAGCTCGAACTCCTAGCTTCTGAGTAATTAACTTCTCACAACTCTTTCAACATCAATAGTTTTGCTGTGGAAGCAAAATTTATGAATAACCTTTCACTCCTGCAGGAAGTGAATTACTGATTGGATGAATAGAATCATTTTGGAAAGAAAAATTTGCGGGATTCGGAAGTCTCCAACCATTCATTTCTTCGTTTTACTAGGTGTGGATGAATATCCATATCTTTTGCTTTAAATCACCTCAACGATAGTTTTAATGAAATATAAAACCTCATGAATTTCGCATTAATTAAACTCTGCACACTACATCGCCACTGAACCAATACTGAGTAATGGAATGTATCATTTGCTTGGTCAAGTATTCCAATGTTACAATCAGGTCAACGATATTCATGTGTAACAATAAAATGAATACTTGTTGCGCATGATTAGCGCATAAGTCACGGTAAATAATGAGGAACATTCCAACATTGGCAATAGCAGCAAAACAAAACAACATTACATGACAGGTGATCTAAAATGAACGGTGGGAATGATGTATCACAATTTAGGGATTTGTTTGTTAAGAATAAATTATTTTATCAATAGTTGAATCCGGTAAAGAAGATAGGAATAGCAGAACTATCCGGACTGTGCACTAAATTAGTTTGAAAACTAAGCAATATTTCCTGTTGAAAATTCAAGAATAAAAGGTAATTGGGGTATGACGAAAATCAACAAAGCATATGCCGTTGGTAAAGTTTCTCCGAAACACAGGCTAATAAAATCTGCCAAAATTTCTCACTGCAAAACAAACCAGTGCAAAAACATTACCATCGATTCGAATCATCGTAGCGTGGTTTGTACAAATCAGACTCCCATTAATGTCAGATTCGCATCACATCAGATTCTCATTGATGTCGTATATTAATTTCACTTTGGATAGGAATTTGAAATAAATTAAAGTCATACCAAGGCAGATTAAATTAGTTAAAATGCATATGGTTTACATAATGCCATTTGTTGTACACGTGCTATTACAATGTAATTCGTTTTCATGATGGCACGATCAAAAGTGGAAAACGATTATGAACAGGCTTCGTGAAAAAGCGTAAGTTGCGTCTGAAAATCGAAAGGCGGCTAAAAACACCGCACATTAAACAGGAAAACATAAAGCGGATGAAACCATTCAACAAGTAATTCTAATGATGTTCACATTTTGAAGCTTGATAGAATTTGATCAAAGGCTTTCAGATGAATATCAGTCTTCTACTAGAAAAAAGTGATACTTTCCCAATGCACTGGGCTTAGGTTTAATCAGGAAAAAATAAACTGATTAGAGTAATAAGAAGATGAAAAGGGACCATAGAATTGAGTACCCCAAATGCTTTTAGACATTCCTTCAGCGATCAATAATATAATGTCTTCAACTTACACACCTATCACACAAATGTTGCGGATCGCAATATGCACACAATAAATCCAACCGGAAAATCGCATAAATTGAAATTCGAAGTTTCAACGATAAGAAAGTACTGATTTCTATTTAATGTAGTTTCTTGCCATCAAATTCAATTTTCATCACTTTACAGTAAAAATAAACCACAGTTAATTCTGTCAACCAACAAACAGAATGTCTCTGAATTATATTAAAGGAAAAAACAATTTTACTTCTGCTTATCTTCAACTTTATTTTAAATTTCTTTCCCTAAACCTTCATTAATAACCCACAAAGCAAGTAAACTATGTTGGAAAGAAATGATTCTATCACAAGTTTCAAGGAAATCAATTCTTATGAATGTCGTGAGTTGTAGAAACAGAAAAATATGTGTTAGGAACGCAATATAAATCTACGAACATTGCAGGAAATGAAAACGTAAAAATAGGAGAAAGAGATCTGGATATGCAGTATGTAGAATTGGATTTTCTAAGTAAGTGGTGGAAGTCAGACACCCAAAGTCGAAATTAAATTCCTCATCCTTTTTGAATTCTAGCAAACAAAAGACTGCAAAAAGTTGCCAATTCAGTTGAAATTCAATGAAAACTAAAATCATGGCAAAACATTTTATTCTATCAGAATTACACGATTCATGAGTAGATAAGACAAAACTGCGCAAATTACTGCGACCAATGAACAAACTGGCCATAAGAAATCGCATAAAATTGAATAAAGGTAATAGCATTTGGTTAGATAAAAAACAAATTGGCCACAAGCAATCTCATAATAATTGGCACAACTAATAAACAGAATGGCCATAAGAAATATTGGAAATATCGCAACATGAGACAAAGTCGAAAGCAAAGTGTCAGAAATCTTCAAAAGTTTGTTCCAAAAATACAAAAAAAAAAAAGTAACAGGAGATAATTTAAAGAAACATAAAAAGCGTAATACATCACTTAGAGGTGTTACGAATATATGAGAAATCTCGCAGCATTCACTTATAGCTTCTTTATTAATTTATATGTCATCATATGCATTCATTTTTTCCTTAATACCTCAAGATACATCAAGAAATGTCTCTTCTTATCAAAAAGAGGAAGAACTTTCTACTTCATTATCTCTTTATTACGAAAACTAATAGAAACAGATGATGTTTTGAGAATATGTATTCAAGAACAGATTAAAAACCATGAATAAAGGTAAAATCAATTAATACCACTCGGAAAGATTATTCACACAGCACCGGCTTTTCCAATACATTCTGCTGAATCTAAGATGACTGTTGCACTACCTTACATCGTACACAGTGTGATTTTATATAATGTAATAGTAAAGCATATACCAAATCAGGAATAAACTCTACTGAATTCCACGTAAAAAAAATTCCCAATATGAAAAACTGCAACTAGAATCAGTTATGCAAAAATCACATAAAAGTTACCCATAAAAAAGCGCAATTAGTTTCCAAATCAGGGAAAAATCCATAATTCACCATTACTTTTAAGTGGTACCTTGTTATACTGCCAGCGGTATTAAAGATTCATCTTTAATTCGATTCAAATCGTTTAACTGACGACTTTCGCTTGTTTCTTTTCCATTCGTAACTAATGAATTATTTTTCTCCGCTCCCATACGCTTATAAGTTGGTTTGAAAAATATTACTAGCACAATGGCTAGTAGGGCAGCTATTGCTGATAATACCTAAAACATAAATTAAAACATCAACAATTAAAAACAAATTATGAAATGCGAGCCATACCATACCACACTCATAAACTGTAGAATTCGTGTGATGCGTAAATTATGTCTTAGTTCAATTCAAAAAAGGAAAAGAACAGCGAAAGTAAATAAAATAAACTCACGATAACGGAAATAGAGCTATCTTGTGGTACAGCGGTAGAATTGGCTTCATCTTCGACTGTACAAATTTGAATATTTTTATATGCCTGTTGTAATGGTCGCGCAAGTAAATTCGTTATGCCAACGTAAATTATTGAATGTATCTGGAAATGTACGACTCATTACTCCTCAATTTTTCTTTTAATTCAACTGCAGATGGAGTCTTCTAAAAGTGATAAGACTCAAATTATCGGAGTCTTATAGTATCTTTATGGTACTTCATAACAAAGAAAGCATACCTGACCACTGAGCACCACAAGGCCTGATGAAGATGTTTCAGACACCGGGAAAGTACATTCGGAGGCTAATTCTAAACCAACTGGATATGATGCAAGTCCGAAAACACCGAATAGGAAAGCCATGATTACAAGATAGATAATGAGATCAGAATGTAGAGATAACTAAAATGTAAGAAATTTACAACAATTTGCTACTATAAATATGAACTTCGAAATTTGTCGGATCACTAAAACTATACATCATTTGGCAGCGAGCTTCAGAATGAGAAGGAATTGTATGAAAATCGTAATTTCGAAGATCAAGAAGTTGTATTTCGAACTGTTGCTACTCAAGTGATTAATATTGCACTACCTTATCAGTTCGCCATAAACTATTAGTGTCCCATCGTTGCCATTAACACACTGCGGAACAAAGAGCATCAAGCTAGATTTTACAAGGCATTTTAGGTGTCGGACATTTTTTTGAAACGTTACCTGCAAAAATATGACCCCAAAAATGACAGCCAGAGACATGCATATTTTCATGGTTTCTTCATAAAGTTTGGTTCGGTCGACAAACATGCCTGAAGATAGTTTCAGCTTTTTCTGTTGACTAGATAAATACAAAAGAAAAGAAAAAGCTAAAAATGAAACTATATGAAATAAAACTAAATAAAAGGAAAAAGAAATAATTCGAAGAACTAAGGGATGAAGAAGCCATTATTATAGATTTCATCTGAAATATTAAAAAAAAAAAAGAAAAAGTAAATGAAATAAACAGTAAGAGCTGCTTTGAAACAGCAAAAAATTGGGAAGAATAAAACAAAACTAATAAAAGATACCTGAAGCAGTAGCTCCGAAAACTCCACCAATGATCATCAGTGCAGCGCAAAGTCCGGAGAACGAATTCGAATATCCTGTCGCACAAAACAGCTGTTGTATGACGGTATAGAGACAATTAAACATGCCAATACCACCACCCATTACTATCAAAAGCAGTATGTAAGCCTTATTAGTAAAGCACTGTTTGATTCCTGAAAAAAATATCTAAAATAAAACACAAAAATTTGTAAGCCTTTATTTAACCCGATGAAAATCCTCTCCAATTTACTTGTGTTTTGAATTTTCAATATTTTCAACATATTACATGTCTAATTTGACAAGAATTAAGAAAATTTCCTCAAAAGAATATCTGTTTTCCGTTGAAAACAAATGCTGATCAGAAGTTGGTACTCTATACCGCTATCCTAATCATTTTAAATTAATAACATAACTGACAAAGATAACAATATAAAACCTTAATAATCTTGCAATAATTTTTAATGGAAAAGGAGTCTGCGAAGAAGCAGCGAAATGTTTGCAAAATCTCTAACGTGAATAGTTTTCAAACTTTTTCTGTCTGAAATATTCCAAAAGACTGAATCTGAAGTTAAGGCAGCAAACAGACCAGGAAGAAACGGCATTTGTGGTTGAGCAGCACTTTGTGATGGTGGAATTAGTGGTTCTGAACGAGTTACACAGAAAGTTGCTATTAAACAAGCCAACAGCGAAGGTACAAAAGTTATGATGTTTACTATAATTACCTGAAAATACATTACTGATGTTATTAATAAAAAGTTACATCACAATTTCAAATTCGATTACTGTTCCGCACCATAATTAATGTCAATGAAAATAAAGGCTCGCTCTTCTGATTCAAGAGTTGCTCATCCAACAAATGCTAGTTCTTAGACCCAAATCTCGGTTCTTATCCTCACAACATCGTTATATCTCGATGGAATCGAAAGATCCTTAAGAAAGAAAACCCGAGCCTCGACTTAACTGAAAATCTTACATCCACTGGAGCCTCAACTATTTGTGGAGAAAGAACATTTGCCATCAACACCCCCAACGGATTTGCCATGATTCCAACGGTTGTTGCTAACGCTCTTTGATTTTCGGCAAACCATGACCCCGCAACCTGAATTTACCGCTTGCTAGTTTTAGCCAACAAAATTTGTTATAATATTCAAAAAACCTGATCTACATCAAAATACAACAAATTTTTCAAAACACTAACTTTTGGTGGAAGAAACATAATAAACGGATATGCACAAGCAGCCACTGCCTGTCCAAAAAATCCCAACCGGGAAGCGGATTTGCAGTGGCAAAAATGAACTAAAAAAAAGAGATGTGGAAAATGTAAGTGACCATAGAAAACGTTGGTCTATAGGGTTAACTGAAGCAACTGCTTAAGTTTAAAACTTTGACGACAGTATGAAAAGACTTTCCGTCAATTCAATTCAAAGATGTCGATGAGGTATAGTTGCAAATTTCAACTTTATTCAGATTCAATAAAATTATCCTGGTCTCGAAAATGAAGACTAACATCCACAGTTATTGTTAGACCATTAAATATACGGTATCTCCCAATAATACCACCCATAAAATCTCACCTGATAAGACGGATGGCAGCACCAATACCGTTTGTCCAAGCTGCGATGAGAATCGCAAATCGAAGCCCGAACGAACTACTCATCCATATGCCGAATAAGCCTATCGGTATTGTGCAGATTATAAAAACTAGTGAAAACCAATTCGCTGCTTTGCTCTGTAAAACAACAGCTGAACTGTAAAACACGAAGAAACAAGAAACGCATTTTCCGTAGAATTAACTTTTCTTCGTGTCCTTGAAGTTAATAAAATAAAAACCTAACGGCACTAAGGACAATCAAAAAAATGTAATAGAATGTAATGCATAAAAACAATTTTCCAGAATTCACTCTTAGAATGAAGCAAGAAATTAATCCATGATATTGTATTTCCATATCTGAATCATGATAGTTCTTTTTTTTCTTTATTACCAATGAACTCTAGGCTTCAATAAAAATACAAGAAAAAAACTCAGAAAGTGCTTCTTCAAAGCAAATTACTAGATTACGACTGATGAAGAAGTGAGAACTTAACCCACCATTCCATAGAAAACGTCGACATAATTGGAAATGGAAGCAAATGCAATCCATGACATTGTATTTGAATTGTTCAATAATGCGACAACTGCTAAAACGATCCAACGTTGTGGATAAACTCTGCAAATTCTAACAAGAATTTGTAAGCTTAAGTGTCATTTAGCTTGAGAATTTTCATGAAAATCAAATTTGATGAGAAAGTAGTCGCTTCCTAGGCTAATGCTAGCAATTATTTTTCATCACATACACGAAACAATCCATACACCATTCTGACAAGAAAACTCACCGATAGCTTATTCGATGATCCGCTGGATCCATTTCCGATACTATGCCTATAAGTTTACTAGCATATTTTGGTTCAATGTTGATTGATCCATCCTTGTTATCGTCCTGAAAGTATTTAATTCATTCCTCTTTTACTCTGACAGCAGCTGCTCTTTCCTACATCTTGCTGCAGGAGTCAGAAAAGAAAATCCGCTCCTAAAGAAAATACAATCCTAATAAAAAAGTATAACATTAGGAAACATACACAGAGATTAAAAAATTACGTCTCCTTCGGTTTAGCAAAAACTGAAAAACCTTAGTGTCATCGGCGAATTTTAGTTTTGTTGCTTCATTTTTAAAGGAGAACACTGTAAGTTCGTTATTGTCCGATGTTTTGTTTATTAAATTTTTGGCATCCTCGGCCATAGTCTGCAAACAAAAATTCATTCAGAAATTCAAAAACCCATTTATGCTTATTTTCGTTTCGAATCGACGAAATTGAGAATTTTCGAAGGTCGATCTCGATTCTGAAAATTGTCAAATACATGGATTTAAAAGCAGTTGAAATCCTACCGGAAGGATTCATGAGATGGATGGAGAGGGTATTCTGAAATCCTGCAAAATGACTCTACAAGTCATTTGCATTAAGCAAACCTAATCTGAATTTTAACTATCCTTTATTTTTCTATTGGAGGAGAGAAATTTTCTCTCCTCTCCAATAAAGGAGTAAACGCAAATGAAATTCAAATCGGATTTGCTAACAGTGAGGGAGAAACAGAAAATATATCAAAAAAAAAACAAAAACAATCGTCAGATTAAACAACCAATAAGAAGAGAAAGAAAGATCACCAGTGAACTGTAGCAAATATGACTGGTCAATGTAATAATGTTTATAACATACATCAACTAAAATCTTAATGTAACAAACCAACTATAACTGAAATACGATGAGACCAAAAGGACAAGTAACACGCAAATATGCAAGTAGGTAGTGTTGCAAATATCTATGATCATTTAAAGAAATAAATAATTTAAAGCATGTGACTTTGCCAATTGATTTATTTTTAACTGACAAGGATCATGGGTTTTTAATGTAGAAAAAGGGCTTGTCAGCTTACGTTAGGTTTTGGAAGAGCTATGTCCAGTAAGAATTTTGGAAAACCACAAATCCAAACTAAATCAATCAGTACTTCAGAAGCTTCGAAAAAAAAATTCGTTATCATCCAAGTTTGAGGGAAGCTGAACTTTGCTTACCGTTGAATATGTTACTATTTCACAAAGGATCTACTTTCCATATCATCATTCTCGCTATTTCATCCTTAGTCTTTGACACAACTACCATTTCGTGCTATTCCGCCAAGTTCCAGATTTCTGCAACTAAGCTTTTACTAGCTCTTAATGACAAGAAGTCAATCTTGCGAATTGTCTGAAACATTGAAGCAAGCTATTCTGAAATGTCTTCTGATCACTGTCATCCCTTCCCAATCATCTGTCAGTATACATCTTCGAATAACTCACTTCAAAACTTTATTAGTCCCATACTTCCACAAAAACTCTCACCTCCATCTGCGGAAAAAAGCCCTCACCTCCATTGAACCAACCGCCTCAAAACACGTCTAAATACCTTTAAACCCTTTAGATTTTCACTAAGATCATTCGAGCGAGCTGCGGCCGTATTTCCAGAATGTTATTTAACGACACTTTGCTCCGCGGTTAATTCGGTTATTTTAGGTTGGAGTTGCAGTGAACATGGTAAGTTGTTTGAGTACTTTTTATTTTTTATTCATTGTTAACGGATTTGTCGCTTGTACTTTTCGGATGATATCCTTCCATCATTTTTGTATATTTTGTGATCCCTCGATGAGACGCTTCCTTTCCAACTGTTTCGTTGTAAATGCTAATCGGTCCCAACAAGTATCTGCCAAATGTTGACAAACACCGTCTTTTATGCTCTCAAATCAACATTTACCGGTACAGCTAGCAGCTGCAATGTGAGTGCAGACTTGAATAATGGTAACCCTTTCTAAATAATTACTTTTAGATTATTTTATAAATTCTTGGAAACATTTCATCTTTAAATTTGTTGCAGCCTTCAAAGAAAATCATCAAAAAGAGAGTTGCTCCTCCGCCGCCGATGGCTAGGAAATCAGAAGCAACAAAAAAGGAGCAAAATCCTCTATTCGAAAAACGAGCGCGCAATTTTTCAATAGGTGCGGATCGATCTTTTGATAATTAAAGACTTTGTACGATGGGTCAAAAAATAGGTGATTCGCTTCGTTTCCAGGCCAAGACATCCAGCCAAAACGAGATCTGACTAGATTTGTACGATGGCCCAAGTATATTCGTTTGCAACGTCAGAAGGCTGTTTTGATGAAGCGTTTAAAAATTCCACCACCAATTAATCAATTCCGTACAACGCTTGATAAACAGACAGGTGTGTTTTGCTACACTGGGTACTTTTCATATTCAGTATTTCTGCAAGTTAAGAGCCGGTTATTTATTTTTCCAGCCTACTGCTATTATTTGTCCCTTGGGATCCATTTTTTTTGTACCTCCTGGTTTTATATAGTAGCACTGAAAAGGTCTTGTTTGGTATTGTGCAAAGAAAGATGAATGTTCTGTTAATATCGGTTGCCCTTTGAGATTTGGATTTTAAAGGAAATCCGTTTCAAGACACTACTTTCTGGATGAAATTTCTACCAGATTTTTGGCGCTTTCCATTTACTTTGTATTTTACAGCTACGCAATTGTTCCGTTTGCTGGATAAATACCGTCCAGAAACAAAGCACCAGAAGATGGAACGGTTAAGGGCGCGTGCGGAAGCTCGGGCATCAGGCAAAAGTGAAGAAGTAACAAAGCGTCCACCAGTGGTTCGTTCGGGTGTAAACCAAGTCACGAAGCTTGTGGAACAAAAAAAGGCACAATTGGTTGTTATTGCGCATGATGTGGAACCTATTGAAATTGTTCTTTTTCTCCCGGCACTTTGTCGTAAATTTAAAGTTAGTTCCACCTTCTTTCTACCGAAATTTTTTACTTAGCTGATTTAGTTTCTTCACTCTCTTTGTAGTATACATCATTGCACTTACAAGTCTCAAAAGTTAGGTCCTAACTCCTATGAATTTATTAACTGTTTTCAGTACTGTCTGATTAAAATTAGGCTGTCCAGTCCTAACTCTTACGAATGTTGCTGAGTTGACTTTTCAGTACTATCCCATTGAAATTAAGTTCTGCAACCTTACAGGTGCCGTATTGCATTGTGAAGGGAAAGGCGCGTCTCGGTCAAGTTGTTCATCGAAAAACTGCTTCTTGCATTGCTATTGTTGATACGAATCCGTAAGTGGAAACTTATTTTCTCAGATACTAAGAAACTCAATGCACAGTTTTAAAAAATTGTAGAAACGCCCACAACTCAAGCAGTACTCTTCTCCTACTTTCCATCATGTAAGCCCATGGATCTATCGCCCCGCACTGCTGATACTAAATGTGCATCCCAGTCTTATTACACATTTCATATTTTAAAAGTAACAGCTCTATATTAGATTTCCGTTGGTGATTTTTTGATTTTATAAGCAATTATAGAAAGGTGTTGAATATCAGTTTGTGATATTGAAGTTTGCAGTGAGGACAAGGCAGCTTTGTCGAAGCTAAAAGATACAGTGATAACTAATTATAATGAACGCGCTGATGAAATCCGGAAACACTGGGGAGGTGGTGTTATGTCGGCTCGTTCGCAGGCAAAGAAGGCTCGAATTGAAAAAGCACGAGCCAAGGAACTCGCACAAAAAGCCTAAATGGCTCACCTCATTTTTTTTTTTTGTTCATTATTGAAATAAATTGTTGAATCCGCCAAGTTCTCCGATGCTTCAGAGATTAATTCGTCTGCAGAGTTTTATGTCTTTCATGTTGGGGGTTTTGAAGCAGTTCATCTTTACATAAATCGGGTTGGTGTGTAGAGTTCCTGTTCGAGACAAAAAATGAATCTTATTGTCACGAAGTAATGGTAGGAGTACGCTTCTTCATGCTTGGTTCTTATGTCCAGAGAAAAATGGATCATGGGTGGGACGTACCACAGCTTCAGATTAGTTAGGAAGAAACGAATCTACGAGCCAATCTTTTCCAGCAATACTGGAAAGGTAATTTTTTTAGTCGTAGGAGTGAAGAACTGAGATACTTCTGTGAAACGTTTAATTACAGTACCAAAACTATGCACGGCACTTAAACTTTATTATTCAATGCAGGTCACAAATGATGATTGGCGACTTATAAGTCGTTCAGAATATATTCTTTTGTGTTCCGTATCATGTTGGACTTGCTTTCCTCTTTTTTGATACCCTCCGATTCTGCTGGTTTGTTATACTTGTAACTATCTAAAAATTAACGCGCTACATCTTTATGATTACTTTTTTTTCCTTTTTTTTATTTTAGAGACCCTATCAAAAAAGTAGGCAAACAAGTATGATCGTAAAAGTTACCTGCCACTAAGTGTTTCGAGCTGGACACTTGGAGAGCAGAACCTCAGGTCAAGAATTTCGTCACTAGGCACAAATACATCACCAATCTTTTGCCATTTGTTATCTTCTGTGAAACCGAACAGCAACTAAAATTAAGTTTTATGTAAAAAGTAAATGGATAAGGCAGCGATGGAGAGTGTCTGTTGAAAATAAGATACAAGCATGGGACGTAGAATCTTTGACCGTTCAATTTGTTTTTATTTTCCCGTTAACACTGCCAAAAATAAGTGCATATGTCCACAATGCTTCACCAGGCTTCAAATTTTATTGAGATGACACAAAGTTACCTTTCCACCTTCTACTGCGATGAATGTATTTAAGTCATCGCACAAAAGCTTTTGCCTTTCGGCTCGCTGCATAACAAGTTTCGCTCCAGAAATTAGTTGGTGAATTGCTCTGGATATTTCTTTCAGTAATATCGTAATCACCTTATCATTAGCGATTTCTTCACGTACGATCGGATAACTTAAAGAAAGAAATGGTTACATCAAATCATTGAAGTACTTACGTCACCCTTAACTTGCGAAGCTTTTGAACGGAATCAGGGTCGATTTAAACATTTATGGATCGATTCCAGCTATCATTAAGGTTAAATTTATTTTCCAAATTAACGTAGGCATATAAACAGATTACCGACATCAACAAGGCAAACCTCAACGAAGTAGCAAAATTCCAAAAAGAATTATAATTCAGTGCTATACTACCACATTCTTTATCATTCGCGACCTATAAAAGTTATTAAATAAGTGAAGGAACTGATTTTAGCCAGTAACGTAGTGCTGAAACCCCAGTGTTCAACCATCAGGCGTGTGATAAGCCTCTTGTATATTTGAGATAGAAATAAATAGTTTTCAGAAGTCAATAGCTAGTGGGAATTTTCAAGAACGATTACCTCCTTTTTCTTCATTATGCTTTAAAAATTATACCTCCAAAATAAAAAAAATTAAATAAAATAGAAAAAAATAAAAAGTGATAGAAAGTTAGCAAAGAGAAAAAGAAGTTGACATCAAAAAGAGAGTAAATTTTTGCATAATTCGTCAAAAATATATCCATTAACAAGATAGTTTTAAGATTTGCATTTATACTCGGTTTGTATTACTCGGTTTGTTTAAAAACACGTGATGAACGTTTGTTTACAGATGCTACGCATAATAATTACCTCTTCAGTGCTTGAATCAGATAATAACTTTAAGGTGCTCAAGGAAATACTGCGAGGTTCTTCTCGAATTCTTTTCGATGTAGATGGAGTATCTGGATCAAATTAGCTGGTAATTAAGGAAAGAAACATGAAAAGTGGAATTTAATGGGTGGATGCAATCTTTAAATGGAATTACCACCATCACCCTCCGCGAAACTACTTCAGTTTTCTAATATCAGGATCAGAATAATTGATCTTAGTGATGTCCCTCAGTACATTAGTGACAAATCATACTAGGTGACGTATCATCTTCAGCGGATGGACTGTATGTTCGTTTCATCTTCCGGATTCGATTACTCGTTCGTCGCGTCATTCTACTGTTCGGTACCACTCTACTTTCAGTATTGAATATCTTAAAGAAGAAATTAATTCCCACTAAACTAAGAGCATTGAACTCCGCTCCCCAGTAGCCGACAGCAAGGAGACACAGCGGCGGTTAACGTTTTCAAAACAGAAACGTTTCAACAAATTCAGTGAAACTGTTATTTCCCACCTCGTCAGGATACATCTCGTTGTATGCCTCCTTTAGTAGCACCGACAGGTAAAGATGTTGAGGTAAGAATGTACGACAACAACTATTAGTGAATTAAGACTGTAAATGTATTTCTAAATAAGTTTAAATGTTGATTGTGCTGAACAGCAATAATTTTTAGCATCATTGCACCTATCACTTGGTAGATGAAGGATACCCAATTAATAAGTGGATGGATTTTGCACATTGATTTATGAAAGTCAGTATTCGTTTTATTTCGAATGTTTAAAAGATAACTGCCATGATTTTTTATGTAAACAAAGTGTAATAATGAGCAATAAAAATAATTTAATTTAATGACTGAACAGTATTGACACGATGATGTTGGTCTCCTTGTTGTGAGGTATGTGATACCACTAGTGACACATTCTAAGGGTATAAAAGAGGACGTGACACCCATTTATTTAAATATTCCAGCCATTTTTGATTTTGGACACTTCTCCCACAGAGAAAGAGAAATTAAGGCCAAACTGTTTCAAATCATGTTTGCCTTCTTCACTTCTGCATGAAATGAAACAGCAAATTCACGATATTTCAATGGCAGTTTCGCCTGAAATGCAACATTATAAAATATGTTGGAATGGACTATTCTGAAAATGGCTTTTTTGCTTTCTTAATGATTCCGACAAACAAATAAAGCTTGTTCAGTAAGGTGCTCAATACTGGCTATGTAAAATGTGAAAAAAAAAAAAAAATGTGCTGGTTACTGCATGGAGTTAAGAATCTAGTCATGGTAATGAACACGGGGGAGGGTAACGTGGAGACACCAGGTTATACTCCAATACACTGTTACCAATTTCGTCGGTGACTCACAGCGGGGAAATCCAGTTTGCTTCGTCATTTTACAGAGAGAAAGTCTCCGGAAATTTGTGACTCCAGCTGATGACTATTTCTACGCCCGAAAGGTGGAGGACATACCAGCTGGACAAGAAAAATTGCTAGATAAAAAAAAATTCAGATCAATAACGGCTTCCTACTACCGTAATTCAAAAGTGCACATATTTCTCTATAATGAACTTAATGCATGATTGTCGAGTTTTCAGGATAAAGTCGATTTAGATATGGTAGTTCAGAATTTTAAGTTTATCCCAATCTGTGCTCATTTTACTCTACTCACGTATAGGTCTTACTTTGATGTAATCGAGTACTGTAGTGTAGATGAACACATATTGTGCTTCATTTTGCACACTCGATGCACGCTGATTTCTCATCTCTTTAACAACTTGTGGTACCTGAATTTGTGGTCATTAATTTTACTGTTTCCATCTCTGATTGTCGCAAACATTGTAGAGCTTTTTGTCCTATTCACAAGGTGCGCTCACTGTATCTGTTTGATGCAGGTGTATTTTAGCTCTAAATCTGGGCCCAATAATTCTAGTGGATGAAGAAACGGGAATCAACTATTTAACAGGAAAAGGATTAGACTATGAAAGAACATTGGTCCATATTTGACCATTTTAATCTTACATTTAATGGTTGGTTTTTCCAGAGACGTGATAACAAGGTATCAATTGCTACCACAGTACCCGTACGGCCAATACCAGCTGAACAATGAATTATGCTGATCGATCTCTAAAATAACCGTTTAAAATTATCAAGAATAAAAAAAGTCCAGGGGAGATTCACCGCATCACATAAGTATGACAAACTAGAAATAATGAAAGAGAGGATTATAATTTAACTTTAAATCCCTGAGATATCATGCTATCTAGATATTCAAAGGACTGAAAAGATTTTAGATTCTGGAAAGTCATAAATAAAGAGTAAAAAGGAAAAAATTGCTCTCAATGGATACAGCGGGTATCATTCGAATTAGCCTGAGTACGGTCATCCCACTTTGTGGTACACCACGATCCGGCCAATCCGTCATATGTATAAGCTTTACAATGGTTGAATTTGAACAACCTTCCGGTAACACTTCCAGAAGATAAGTCTCGAATTTATCCTCGTGTTCAGACTACAAAATAATTTTTTAAACGAATAATTTGTATTTGTTCAATGTAAAGGAATAATCAGATTTAGCTTATAATCAGATTTAGTTCTTCTAACTTCACTGTCGAGGTCAGTTGAAATCATAAATAAATCAAAAAGGAAGATGTTGCAGCTATATCTTTCATTCTTGCGCTAGACATCAATCATAAAAATGAGGAAAATTTTGAAACAAACAACAACAACTAATGGCTCAACTGTTTATCTGACACAACTATATAACTGCTTCCCGATATGTACTATTAATGCAGTATCAACTAAGATGATATCAGTATTTGCAAGAGATGAAATGTAGAAAGGAATGTGACTAACCCGTTTATTCATAACAAACATACATCCATAAGTTTTATTTTCACCATTTTCTGCAGGCCAGTACTGAAAACATTTCTGTTTGCCGTCTTCAATTGTTTTGCATAACATTATGATCGTTGTAATTTGTTCTTGATGTACCATACGCCAAAAATCGCTTGCAGTTGATTCGAGTGGACCCTAGTAGGAAATTAATAATCTACAGATAAAAAATTGGTGACTACTAACTGATTATTCAATCATATTGATATCTCAGAATTTGCATAGTCCAACTTTTTTAATTTTCTCTCTGGTTAGAGAAATGGAGAAATGTGATTGAATTATAGTTAAATTGCGATTATCTAATCAATTATTGTTATTTAATTATAAGTTAAAGATACTTAATCCTGAATATAACTAGTATATCTACAAGCAGTTATTTCGACAACAGTAAAGGAAGATTGTTTATAATGTGCGGTGAAAGCACAAATGTTTTATCAACGTTTTCACAGAATGCGAAATTGATATTTGTATGAATTTGCGTAGTTATTCATTCGTCTTCCAATTAGCTTTATAAATTGATGAATAGACCTTTCAAAGTTTTGAAAATTTATAAATTCTGGCTGGCTGAAATGAGAACTAATAAAGAAAGATGGGAGGTGGCTATAATTATTTACTTGCGATCTCAAATGCGATTTTTGGAATTATATGAGAAATTGGAGTGATGATAATTACGTAATTAGTCCTACCTGCGTAGCGATATACTGGTGAGCACAACCCTCCATTTTTAGCCAGTTTGCATGTATGTAATCTGTTTCAGGTGGAACATTTAATGTTAAAACGACTCTGAAATTCTATCGAGTAGAAAGTAATTTTATATGGTTTTTGAAATTTTCTTTAAGTGAGCGTGAAGTGAGAGTGTGACGAAAGCAATTTAAAATGATGATAGATCTGGGACATCGCTTCAAGTCAGATGGAATATGTTTGCAGAAAGAAAAACTTGATAATGGATACAAATCGATCCTTTTTTCAAATTCATAAGTAAATTTGTACATCAATCGTTATGCCAAATTATCTATGATACTTCAAAAGTGCAAGTAACCGTGTGACATCTAGACAAGGTACATCACGATATCGGTTTCTAGACGGATTCGCTGTAAATGCCTCATGTGCATTGTTTGGCGGCATGTACATTTTTAGTTCTTCAAACTCTCGTCGTAGACCAGCAACACCTAGAAAACCACACATTTTGAAAGATTTACGTAGGCCTCTTCCTACAACTTCTCAGATGCAATATTTAAATAAAATAAAATCTCACTGATTTGGAAAATCTCAGTTGGGATTCCCATTCTTTTTAGGTGAGAATGCTAGCTACTTCAATGTTCTATTAAGTAAATAATAAATTTTACTCATAATTTCATCTTTAATGTAATTCTCGTCGAAACTTCAGAATTTCTACTAGTTTATTGACTGATTACTAGTAATCGACTGAGATTCAATCTTGACACTTCCAGTGTTTTCTACATTAAACATTCTTGCAAACCCATTGATCTGATGTAGTTTACATAATCAGAAATCAATTTTTCCATTTCATTGGTCATTGGCCTGCCACTTATTTTACGACGCACTGTACCTTTCTATAAATTCACCAATATATTCTATTAGAATCGCTATTAACCTTTATACCTTTTATCTGTTATCAGTTGCTATTTCCTTTGTTTACAGCAACAAATTTATGACTGAAATTTTGCAAAAATCCGAAATATTTCATTTATTCTTTCATATATTTGTTCATAAAAAGAATAGCCATATCTCACAATTGAATAACACAGAATCTTGCTTAAGGTTCTGTGTTATTTAATAATGAGATAAATTTTTCATCTTTACTTTAGATAAGGTTATATTTAATGAACCTTTACACTTTTTACGGCAGACATAGATGTACCAGCAGCATCGCCTTCAACAGTAACCTCTTCTTCCATCGTTACCTGTCTCCTGCGTCGACGAGAACCAGCACGTTTCATATTGCTAACCTTTTCAATTTATTCTAACATTTTAAGGTCTGACTATTTGATTTTTTTCTTCCTTTTTATCTGTTATTATAAATTATGCAAAAAGTTAATAATTACCTTGGAATAAAAAAGACTTCAATAGTAATATTTTGATTGGAATCGTTTTTTACTCATTACTTTATCCAAATAAATTCTTGGATTTCAATCTATTTCAATAAATTTTCCGAAATTTTAATTTGATTTTGCAAACTAAAATAAAACACTGTTCGTCACCAGCACTGATAATTGTTCAGAAAATAAATGAAGTGACGAGGTGGTACCGATGGGAGCGCCTCTAAACTTGCAATTAGGTAAAAATTAATCATTTATCTCCACTTTTCATTTTTATATACTGATGAATTCATGCAAATTTTCCAGTTTACATGAATTACATGTGTTATCAAGTATGGAGAGTACAGGTGAGAGCATGAATGGGAAAACTGTTCCCTCAATAATTATCATGGTTAGCCAAGCACCATCAAGAAAATTTTTGATTAACAGTTGATCAAGCAGTACTGCTACTTCTTGCTTAGTTTAAGCTGACTAAAATAAATAAATTTTGACAGATAGTTTGAATCTGAAACAAACAACATTTTATTTAATAAGTTGTGACAGAGAAGTTCTAATTAGTGAGGCTTCCTACCTAGGTAATCTGATCATCGTTTTTCATCGCAACCAGAAGTCAGATGTTAGATTTGAATTATATTCTGGATCACAAGAAAGTTAAAGACTCCGTATCAATATCCCAAATAGTTTTCCAGGAAGATTAAGATCAATAATAAAATGAGTCTTCATAATTTTCCATTTTTAAAAAAATCCACTTCAAATTACAAATCTACGAGGATCATTCAGCAATAGTTTTCTCGTTAATTAACAATCTCTTCTCCTTCTTCATTTACCTCAAACGGAAATGACAGTAGTTGTTCCAAGGTGATGGAATCAGTAGAAGTTGTCCTTCCAGGTGCTGGAATAACAAAGCCTACTTTTAAAACTTAACATATATTTATATCAGTTAAGTTTCATTTAGCGAAGTATATGGAAAAATATTTCTTCTTAAGAGGTGCTGTTTAAAACATTTCCATCCACTACAGTGTTCGCACATTTGAATAAATGATAAATATAACTAGTTAAAAGTAATTATTACGATTAAAACCAATCGATGGCGGTATTAGGCCACGCTCTTCAAATCGCCTCAAATAATTACATAAATGCTTTAATCGTCGTTCTTTGCTACGCCGATTTTGGAACCAAACCTGAAGTTAGATTGATTTAAAGTACACCGATTAATTTTTAAACATTACTTTTTATCAAGTGAAAACAATACATGAACTCTCCAGAAGCTTGTTTTGGAGGTGTATCGTCTACCTGGATAACACGCATACTGAGGCCTGTTTCTAGTGCTAGCTTAGCTCTCACGTGCTTCGATGGCTTTGGAGTTGACGTGAACATTCTATTTAGTACATCTAACTGAAACAAAAAACTGTTCAAAATACATTCGGTTTTTATTTTACTCCAAGTAATTATTACACAGTTACAGGATAGATTTTGGAAGTGAAACGTTACCTGGTACTGTTTAATGGTAGTACGCGGTCCTCTGCGCTTGAAAAAATTTGCTTCATCACTTTGTTCGTATCCGTATGTTTCATGAGAATGTGAGAAAAGGTTAGTTGATGAATAATCCAATTCCCTTAACAATATGTATAAGAAATTTGATCCATTGCCGATTTCAGTATTTTGATGTCTGCTATTATTTACAAATTAGATACTTCTTTTTGGATCTTCAGCTTATTTCCCTATCATTCCAAGTGAATCTTTGGGGGAATTAATTAGGAATTAATTAATTAAATTTCCTTTAACAGCTCTACAAAAATTTCCGATATAATTATTTTGTTTCAATTTGCCAACACATAGCATCTTTCTTTATGAACATATTCATGACTTAAAATTAAATTTTATCGCAATGTCCAGTCCCAATAAGATATAGCTGTCGAAAATAAAAGAATACCTTGAAACAGCATCAGAAAGCAAGCCACCATCATCTGTTTCTAATATGCATACCGCTGTAGTTGGCGTTGGAATAGTAAACACTGAAATTTAGAAGCTTCTAATTTTCATATCAAGCCTTTATTGGAAAAATTATACCATGAAATTGAATAGGTTGGTCTACCCAGTTTTTCATTTGAAAAAGAAGGAAGTGTCAAAACATATCTCTTATGTTAATTTAGTACTACGAGAGTTTAAACGATGGGATCAGTTTCAAAATAATCGCAGAATATTACAAGCGAACTTACAATTATCGCTGCAAACAGTATGAGCAATACATGCTATGCTTTTAGATATTTTATTTATGCAAATTTGTTCGCCTTGTGATATTTTTCTACCACATTGAATACATCGATGGCAGGTGATGTGATAGAATATATTACTCTGAAAATGGATGTAACATCATGAAAATGATAAAAAAAAAATCTTTAAATTTTAAGAATAAGCTGAAAATACATGGCAATTCGCACTGACACTTGACAAAAAAAAAAAAGAAATTTCTGCAGTCATGCAGCATTAAATTTCTAGCATTATACCTTGATTTTATAGATCATTTCTGTTGGTGCAATACCTTGCCAACAGCCTGCACATCGATTTGGACTGTATTCCCTGTAGAATACAATTTAAAATCAAGCGAATTATTTATTAAAAACAATACTTCAAAAATACGTATGTGAGAGGAGTTTAAATTGCTTAAACCAAGTCTGGATTAAATTGTTTGCAGAATTCTTTGGCAATAGTCATTGTTTTGAGTCTAAAGCGAAATTCAGAATTGAGCCATCAACTCATAAAATCTACTCAGAACTATTGCTACAAAAAAGACTTTTCAGATTTTGTCTCAGACTCTATTATAATTAATAAAAGTTACTCATAATAGTGTAGATGACAGTATAGTTGTCCACTCTTTTCGAAACATTTATCATAGAGAGGTGTGGAACAAACTGAACATCTAACACAATTTTCATGATACACCCAATCACGTATCTATAAAAAAGAACTATTTGAAAGATTTAAATTCAAAGGCTTTTAGAGCTTATTGCCCCTCTTTACTACAGTAAGTCATCAGTTGGTGAGTGCTGTAATTATGCTCGAGACATCGATTAATTATACTTTTCAAGATATTGCAAAATGTAAGGAAACTTCTGATAAAACTTTTCTTAAAGATTCTGTTAACAGGAAGCTGTAACTGATGACTGATTTGAAGCTTGATTTGAAGATTTGTTTGTTTCTTCGTTTGTTTTTTGTTTTTTTTTCTCTTTTTTAGACCTTTACTTATTGTCTTCCAAAGTCACCAGCAAATTTTATTTACTCATGTCATACTCATAAATCAATGCGACAACTTCAAAAAGACCGAGGATGATATTAATACAAAGTGAGGCGAGAACGTGCTTCATGAGCTTAACTAGGCCAAGAAAACTTATGTTGGCTAATGTTCCGGACTTTTGAAAGTCTGGCCAGCAGGCAAGTGATGGGAACCACTGATCCTTAGCACTGTAAACTTCTTGAGCAATAAATACATTGTCCTGTTAATCAGGTTGCATTAATTAGATGATTTCTACTGAATGAAATGTCTCTAAGCTATTTTCATACTAACATCGAAAAGGGTACCTTTGACATGAATTCATGTATGATCGGAAATTGGCACTGCTTGCAGATGCTCTAAAAATTGGCTTTAAAATTACTTTTTTGAAATGGCTCAAATTTTTTAGTAGTGATTGAAGGGAAATGAAGAAGAATTACATCAATTTTAGACTAAATAAAATTCATCGCAACGCGCAACACTTCAAAATGTTTGCATTTTTGTTGTTGGCATTACAAATACAAGTGTATTATAAATGCTTTTTAAAAGGCATCTTTCAAATGAGTGAAAACAGCAATAAAATGGTACTGTTACAGTAATTGGTACAACTTATTCTATCATTTTAAATTATTGTCAATTGTTGCCATAAACAATGATTATTGTCCTAAACTCTACCAAATTTATTTCTTATTGAAAAGTGATGCAAGGAATTTAATCATATAAAATAATGTAAAAATGCTAACATGAAGATATCAAAAAATAAATAAATATGTTGAATGAATTAACATTACTGATTATTAAACTACACAAATTGCCTAAATTATTTTTAAATATTTGAAATTACCAATTCAGGAAATTTGTAAAACTTGACGACTGCTTTTATTCTGGCCGAAAAATCTATTACTATTTCATGTTCCTCATTTATCTCATTTAAGCTATAATAAACTGTAGGATATTCTTTTTACTTTATCAAGAATTCTAAAGGAAAATGTCGAGAATTATTAGTTCGGCTTTTTAAAGTTTGTTCATTCGTCCACACATCAATTTGTTAATGCAAAAAATGCTTTAAGAATGTTCATGAAATTATTGAAGTGATCAAATTTTGATCACCTCCCAGAACTTTCTCTCTCCCCATCAGTTACCGTACTGCTGCCTGTTATACGACTGTAGAGGTAAACAAAGTGAAGAGCTAATTACAAGAGTGTTACACTTGGAAGTAATAAAACATAAGGAAGGACAAGGTAGGGCAGTTAATTTAAGTCATTTTTGTTACATCGATTTTTTGCTTCAAAAAAAAAAAGATGTGATACTTAAATAATACGAATCATTTTTGTAACAAAAGATATTTGATAAGGAGTGAAGTCGGTCACCTTTTCATCCTTCGCACATCTACCAGTGTTATTATTGTTGTCGTTGGTATCGGAATTAGTAACAGTGATTTCGGAAGTGATATCTGTTGTTGTGATAGCTGAGCCATTAGCTAAAGTGACCGGTTTTTCATCGTCGCAAGAATACATCCAAAGCGCTTCGAATGCGCGGATTTTGAAGCGTAATCAGTAGCACTGGAAACACGGAACAACCAGCTCGTCACATCATATGCTACGGTAAATTGTGTTTCCTTTGGTAATAGGGCGGGGTTAGATTTCTCATCCATACGTTCGGTTTTATCAAACTGTTTGCTAACTTGGATAAAAATGTGAACAACAGGTGATACCGCACAGAAAGAAACATTTCACTGTCATCCGAAAATATCTCGGGATATTTCTCAGTTTGTCTCCCGAAATACGCACTTCTTGCTGATCAAAAAACTGAATAATTGTATGTTTTGAGTTTTAATATGTAGTTTATAGTATACGATTAGAAAAAAAAAATGCATTCAGACTTTATTAATGTGTATTTCAATATGTAAAATTAAAAAGGATAAGCAAATTGTCATGTGTCCAACCCTCGAAATTACCAAAATGACATTCTCAGTATGAAGAGGAGTCATATACATACTGAGAACTGCCTTCATAAACTACTGTAAATGGTTAATGTCTGGAGTTAAATCTTTCAATTGTACCCATAACATTGCTATAGTATCCAACAAATCGCAACGATTAAATCGCAGTAGTCCCATTTATCTTAGAAGAAGCATTTAATCTAATTTAAAGCAAGAATTTAGGGCATTTTCCTTCCTGATGGCATGCATATATTATTGTATATCGTTTTCTAGCATTGCTATTACAGAGATTATTTTGATTTTGAAGCATCACTTCATCATCCAGAAACGTCACGTCATGAAACGTTTAAATTGAAGGTAATCGAAATGACAGTTACTTAATGTCTTAGATTTATTTAATCTCTGATAGTTTCATTTATGTAGCATGCAATTCTGAAGTTCATTCAATTTATCTTTTAGAAAAGCTCAGAATCGAAAAATTTTTCTTCCTAAATATAGATAATAACCATGGAAATAATCGATAAAAACACGATATAATAATGAAAATGAGAACAAAAATACTAAAAACAAGGAATAAATGAAGTGTGATTGAGCATATCGTCCTTCGAAAAAGAGTTAATTTATTTGCGGAAAGTCTAAAGCTAATATCAGTAGCAGGAAAGAGAGGTAAAGTTGCAATCGCTAGCTGTCAGATCAATAATGCTCGATCATTTATCGCCTTCAAATCATTTTTCTCAAATTCTTTTATCAATAATGCGCAGGAAAAAGTCCTTCATAACTATATTTTGTACCAAATTTTTGACTAAAGCAGCTTGCGAAGGTCGAGATCGAGATATTAACAATATGGTGCTCGTTAAGCTCTCATCTATAATGCATTGCTCTGATAGACATCAATGTTATAAGTCATTTAAAATGCAACGACATCACGGTTTTTCCCAGGTTTTCATGTCAATTTGTCACCACCGCCACATTATCCAGGCATATCAATATATTGCACGAACTCACCCTTCACCATCCAATAGCCAATTACCGTTCACTGAAATGTTCATCAATCATTTAGAAAAAGAAGAAATATTTTTCCATTTCTTTTTTCCTAAAATACATTAAATTTTTTCCGAAGTTTGATTCAAGCATTAAAATAATGTTAACGGATATCTTAAGAAAGGATGGCATGTCAAAATAAATGTATCCAAGAAGTGGAAAGGTAAAAGTTGAAAGAAGGAAAACAGTGGCATACATTTGGACTTTGCAGCTGCAAGGCATCGGATATTAGGATTAATTCTTCAGGTTTTGAAAATATCTCTTTGGATGAGATGGTTTGTTATCCTCAAAATCTTCAGGTTATCCCAATATCATTGTACTTATCTTGATCATCTGAATTCGAAAGCTACTGCCCTAACATTTCAACTTTTGAATTATCGGATGGAAACTATTGCAGATATTTGCAAAAAGGAAGTTAAAAGGTGCCGATATTTATTTGCCGTCATGTCCATTAGTTAAACAATATTGTTTCTGTGTACTAAACATGATCGTATCACTTGTTGCATGCTCAGAATAATACCTGCCAATCATGGGCGCAGTTGTACATCTGTACATTCTATCCAGTAACCCAAATCAATTTAACACGGTAAAACTGTCACTTCATCTATTAATTATTTATCCTTTCAGAATGAAAGAAAAATGAACCAATATTAGCATCTGCTTAATATTGATTCATTTTTCTTCATCTTTGTTTATTTAATTCTTTAATCTTTGTTTATTTGTGTTTCATTTGGGCAGCACTTTGAAATATTACTGAAATTTATTATGATGCAGACGTTTTATTTTGATTCCTTTATTTATTTCTGAAATTTTTTTTGATATTTGAAATGATAATGATAATGATAGTTTTTTGAACTTGAAAGGAGATGTCATGTACTCATCCATTGACACTTTCCCAGTTCAAATATTTAATTAAATCCTTTTAATTATAATAAATGGAACATTTAACTTAAGAAGCAAAAAGCATCCAATCTTCTTTTTTTAATTTCGGAAACTCAATTTCAATTTAAAATTTGTTAAGATTCAGAATCGAGCTGAAGTTGGAATCTGATTTTGAGTTGAAAGGAAAAGTTCGAAAATGTCTTTTTAGGAATGTAGTAATGTTGAGGCCCATTTTAGGAAAGCAAAGGAAGAGAAAGGACTATACGTTTGCTGTTATTAGTTACAGTTGAATTTACTTCTCCTAATCAGCTAATTAATCGTAACTGCTAGCACTGATAATCCAAACTTTGTAAAAACTTAATCTCACTATTTCCCGTCCTCTAATTTAAGATTTGCAGATGCAGCAGAAACTTTACCTACGACGGTATTCATGTTAATTGCTAATGGTCTAAGAAAAGATTTAGGTGGCACGAGTGCTAATTAGGTCACCTATTTTATACTTAAAGCCACAATGACGTTCGATATAGCATTACCTTTTCCTTACAATGATTAAAAGTCAAATAAAGGTGCAGATTGAGCATTCAGAAGATGATGACAACTTTGATCGTTATTTAACTCGCTGATTACCGTTGATTAATCGATAAGTGGAAACAATCTAGCCTGAGTCGATCAAGGGGTCAGTACTTTTCTGGTCATTTTGTTCATTACGAACCTGAGGTTTCTACAAAACAGATTTGTTATGGTCTCTATTGTCGATCATTTCTCCCTTACTATATTTCATATAAAAATGCTTTATTAATACTCACTCTTAATTCCATTCTTCCATGAAGTTTAACCTTTTCTGATTACATCAATAACCCTTAACCTTCAGGAAGGCATTGTTTAGTCATTCATGTCTTTTCGCTCTTCTTTATTTATATACCTCAACTTCGCTCTGCTTCATGCCTATCTGTCTCTTTATTGATATATAAAACATCACAGATACATCAATCTTTCCGCTTCTATTCTATTCCCGTCCTTATTTTATTCTATTCTGCTCTATTCTATTCTGTTCTATTCTATTCTGTTCTATTCTATTCTGTTCTAATTTTATTCGATTATTTCGCGTGTCATTTACTTTGCATAGAATACTTTGTAACGCTGCGTTTTGCAAACAGCAAACGGCAATTAGTGTTGGTATTAGTAATAGTAATATTATAATATTGCGGCACGCAGGAGTGCGGGCGTGTGGTGTATGTGTGTGTATATGTGTGTGTATGTGTATGTATGTATGTGTGTATGTGTATGTGTGTGTATGTATGTGTGCATGTGTGTATATATATAGCAGCGTTGTACTCAAGAACTGAATGTATTTTATCGATTTCTGATTTATATGTAATTGCATATGTGTGTATGCATGTGTGTATGTGTCTTTAAGTGACTTCCTGCTGGGGGAATTGAATTGAAATTGAATAAAAATGAGAGGGAAGGTAGTGTGCTCCAAGGGGACGCTTGCGCTGGGTTACATCGGAAATTGTAAAATTGCTGTTCCCGCTGTGTTGCCTTCATTGCTTCCCTCTATTATTTTGCTACATCGTCATCGATAAATTTAAATTTCAGATATTGGTCATTGGTCAGTAACTTCATACTATCTCACATCACACTTTGT